ACCTAAAAATAGTGTCGTTATAAACGAATGTCGTTGTAACCGAAATGGGCACTTCCACAGTAGCCTTATGTTAGTCACGTAAAAATCTACCAAAAACCGAGTTAAAATGTTGCATTTTTTAGTCAAATACGTAGTTAAGTACAGACTAACGTAACATTAACGTGGAATTGCCCAAATGTGTAATATCAAAGACATATTACAGCGCTTTTCACTGACAATACACACCGCACTAATACTGTATATTAAAGGTAGGCCTACTCACCAAATTACAGTAGATTACATCAATTGTTGTGCCTTACTGTACCTAGATACGAGTACAGTAATCAGTTATCTTAATCTGTTTCCTGTTACTTTCCCAATACACACTTTCTAAATTACGTTCAATGTCCATATCAGAGAAATTCAGGAATGAAAATGACGTTACATACGAGGTTGATGCATTTCTGCATGTCGTACTAAGCAAGGTATAAAAACAGTTGCTTTATGAGGAATTAGTTCGTACCATTGAATATTTGACGCAATAGACAATGTGTCGCAGAAACCGATGTTGCTATAACCAAGTTTTACTGTATTTCCTACAGTTTCTTTATTGCTAGTGGGGTGGGGCTAAGTCCCTTGTACTGAGGCCACTTCTGGCCTATTGTACCAGCTCCAAATGATAGGTGAGGGTGAAGATTGGAATGAAGATTGGCAGGGGAAACCGAAGTACTCGGAGAAAACCTGCCCCAGCGCCACTTTGGCCACCAAAAATCCCACTTGATCAGACCCGGGATCGAACCCAGGCCACCGCGGTGAGAAACCAGCGACTAACCGTTTTTGCTACGGCGCGGCCTTTCCTACAGTTACTAGCTATCTAAAATACACACACATTGTACTGTACACGTGTCTCAGGCATTTGATCTTTCCATCTGTTATCACTTTGAATTTCCACCGGGCTGTTTGCATGAAACTTCAGAATTGGCTGAAGCAGATAAAAAAGTCTGATACATCTGTCGTAGCAGTAAACAGTGATGACAATGTATCAGTGTTGAATGAAGTCCACATCCTCATATCCTATTTCTCTACGACTTACTTTAATATTATCATCCATACTAAGTGTCCATCTCCAAAATGGTCTCTTCCGTTCATGCTAACATGTACTGCGCTTCGCAGTCTCCTTTACGCAATCAGCTAAGAATACTCGTGCACGGTCTACCAAAAAGAATGCCGGTATTTCAAACACCTGAAGCTCAGGAAGGACAACAGATAGGACGATGTTGGTTTTTCTGACGTTGATTATTGTACCTGTAGAGCAAGGGTATCCAAACTACGTCCCGCGAAAGAATTGTGCAGAAATGCGCCAATTGAACTAATTTTCCACTGAGTACTGGTAAATGTAATTCCGAGCCTATTGACCTGACATATTATACTGCAGTTCGATGGCTTAGCTGTGGAAAGGTTCTTTCGTGCTTCTTTCAGCTCAGGAATGAAACTGATATATATCTTACCGGGAAAACCCATCACGCACCACTTTTATCAGATC